TAATGTTGAAATAGACAATACGAAAACATCAAGATCTTAAACAAACATTTTTCTCTGAGACCAGACAAACAGACTTTTGAGCTTCAAAAATGAGTCTGAAAAAAATATTCTATTCAAACTATTCAATGTACAAGCAAGATACAGCGATACTAAATAACTTGAAATGATGTCGCCCAAAGAATTCCCTAGTACAATAGCTTAAATGCCTTTTTTAGCCTCGCCCGGCCTCCATTACGTCACAATGGTCACCATTTTTCTTTTGAGACAAAGAAAAATCTCACAATGCGTCAGAATAATAGAATTATCGGCCTCACTCATTTAGGAAAGGAAATTAGGTGATATTTAGTTCCCTCGAGTTGTAGTAGTAAGCACAATAGCAACCGTGATACGAATTTTGGTCTTGATTTGTGCTGGAGTATATAATAAATGTACCTGTTTTTGTTATACATGGACTATTAATTCAGTTGTATGTGTGTATCAATTTAATGAAGTTCCATTATAAGAAAAAGCTGAAAGTAAAAAATCTTTTCTCCAGGACTTAAATAACGATATGAGTCTTTTTGGTGATTGTAATACAATTATTACTATGCAAATAACATTTGTCTAGGTCTGAATTTAGATGCACAAGCAAGAGACTTTGAAGTTCTGTCTTCCCAAAAATGTATTACCAAAAATACCACTTTCAGCCAGTCGACCAACAACACAAGCAGTAATGAAGTGTTACCAATTAAATTGGATGTCCCACTTAATTAGCTCAACTTTCATAAATACCCAGAGTGGTTTCGGGAACAAAAATTATGGGCAGCCTGCCTACTATACAAGGATATCGATTGGCGAATTTAATTTCAGCAACACAGCACGTTCAGCCGATAGGCGGGCCCTTGGGGGCGATTTGGGCCCCGGAACATGCTCATCGTAATCGATGCCCAAGTTATGGCCTCCTTGCTCTTTTATTATGATTTGTAGGTACGTACTCTATCCTGCTGATGCTGTGTAATAAGATTTTTTTATTATATTGTCAGAGGAGCAGCTGCCATCTTTGATGCCATTTCGTTAAGTTTTTTAAATCTTGTATGTATGTATGTGTAAGTAAAAAAAAAATAACTAACGAAAACTTTCTATGAAATTAAGAAGTAAAATTAAGATACTACTTGCTTTGAAGGCAGCCTAGAAAGTAAATTGACCCTTTGAGTACCGTCATTATAGACACAATTCAAGAACAAAAGGTTGCGGTCACCGGTGTCCTCGCGGTGTTTGACAGTTTAAAATAAAAACATATTTCTCTAACAACCAAAGTACAGAATAACCGCTATTAAAAATTGGACGTAATCACAATAAAAGTTACCAAAAACAAATTAAAACTGTCAACACTAAAAACTAGTTAAAATTTTGGCCAACGCGTAAATAACAAATGGAGTGCCAAGGCACTAGCACTATGTTAGCGCCATGCAAATGCATAACATTCGACCAAACATGCAGCATGACACCCTGCCAATTCGTATGGAGACTAAACACTGAATATTAATCCATTTCATGCTATATACTGACTTTGTTCATTATTCCACGGTGCACAGTGAGTTTTTAATTTAAATGTATGAAGTTTTCTGATGGCCCTGTCATTGACTGCAGCGGCCGAATGGTCATTTACAGAATGAGCTGAGGATTTGATATCGAGGTCGTATGAAATTGTGTTTTTTTTCCGATTTGGTCAGTTTTTTATGACATAATACCCAGAATTAAACCAAATATTCGCAGAATACAGAATTGGCTCATTAGATCATCATTATCACTAACATTATCAAGTGTTTTTCAACATTATCAAGCAAGCAGAGTATACTAAAACATTCAGGTCTTCACGCAGTCACTGGAGAATCATAGATTGACTGCTCCCGCCTGGGTGATGCGGGAGGGAGTGTCAGTCTTTTACTAACTAAAAACCACCCCGTTCGGCTCCTGCCTGCGCTTCTAGCCGGAGCCCCGGCAACCCGTTAAGTCCTCCACAGCTCCGTATCGGCATCAGCCCTATTGGGCCCCATCCGTGGTGGTCTGATGTCTTTTTGAGGCGCACGACGCGCCGTACGCACGAGTCTGTTTCTAGTCCGCGCTTACGGTGGCCGGATATCGTCCTGCGATCCGCGACTTCCGGAGTGTCCTTCGCATTAGGACATACTAGGGAATAAAATTTACCTCAGCATATATACTCATAATATTGAGAGACATATTTTAATAGTATATCTATTTTTCCCAAAGTAAGTATGTACTTTATTAGGAATACTAAATTATCACGTAAACGGTAGTTAGTGGCTCCTGTAAACTTTTCAGCTATTGAGAGCAGTCCAATGAAGGTACAAAGAACACCAATCCGTTCTACCTTGAACCATTTACAGTAATCAAGAGTACAATGTTGCTGAAAAAGCAGCATTCTAGAAAAATCAACCGTGCTGTGCTTATGATAAAGTTGAGAGTTCTTTATGCTAGTTTTTTGAAACTGTAGAATCTAAGTTTGTTGTCGATTTGTAAAGGCGTGTGCACGGTTGAAGTCATTAAATAAGTTAATTTAAAGTACCTACCTATATCTATTTTTTTTAAGGGGGAAAATCATCGAGTGACTTCTCCCGCCTGGGTGAGGCCTGAGGAAGTGTCAGACTCTTACCGACTAAAAACCACCCTGTTTCTACTCCTGCGCTTCGAGCCGTAGCCTCGGTAACCCGATAGGTTCATAGGTCTATGTTTTTTGCAAATCAAAAGATGATATAGGTACCACAATATTCAATGTACAATTCAAAACACAAAAATTAATGTTTTACAATTATCTATTACAAAGAAAAATTATTATTCTAGTAAATCATCAACAATTAAATATTAATGTTAGTAAAAACCATAACTACAATAGCAATAAAAATGCTTCAAAATAGCTCTTTACACAGTACTTTCTGAGGGTATAGAACAAAAATTCATTTGTAACACACAGTTCCACGATAATGCTCCCAAAATCCACCCCCAAAAGAGTTTTAGAGATAAGAAATTTACATATCAAGAATAGACATCGTATCTGCAAGCTCCCTAACCGATCGGTTCGATGTGGTTGTGTAAAAACTGCTATAAAACTCAACGAGGCTCTAACTCCTCAACTTGTGGAGTAATAAAGTTGAACCAAAAGAGTTTGATGCCAAGAATTTACTTATAATATATTCGTACTAGAATATTAAATCGTAAGATTGAGTATACCAAATAAAAGTTTTGTTTTTGTATATTACTTGAATTAGATCATGATTGTGATTTGTAAAAATATTATAATTACCTATATAAAAAAATCCTGATAGACAAAATCTTTATTCGTTATATTATACTATCTTTTGTTTACACCAAAATCTTACCAAATTGTTAATTACTATTAAACTAACAATAATTAAGTCACTATAAAGTTTCTATGTAAGTACTACATCTTTATCAAACTTCATATTACCCTATATAAAAAAAACTATAAGGCTTCTAATAGAAAATTGGCGTTTTTTTTTTTCAAAAAAATATTTTCGATATGGTTCCATTATTTTCCTCAAAATTACTTTACCATTCTTTTTTACAACGCCATCTCTGAAGAAGTAGTGGAACTGCCAACTAACGCTTTAGATTACACTTGTGATATCACTAGCGAATTTCACCTCTATCAAACAAAGATGGATTTCATTGGTGGTTCTGGAATTAACGGAAAGATGGCAGCACATGTTTCAATTACTTTTTATGTAATTTAAGTAGACAAATCTAAATATTTATTAACTACCCCATGGACTTTGCAGGTTCGCCTAAAATAAGTAAATAAAGAAACATTTTTGAACAAAATTACTTTAATCCTTATACTTAAAATAAATTAATACCTCAATAATTAATTAAATTACATACAGAATTTAAGTACAGAATTATATTATAATGAGAAAGCTAAATTAACACTTTAGTATTGACAAATATATATTAATAAGTAGGTACTTAAAATGTGAAGTCACTTTTCACTTTAAAACATATACCACTGATTTTAATCAACAGATAATCAGATCTTGTTAACTTACTGATTGGAAGTTTTTTTCCAAACAATCAATGATGTAGAACGCAGTAAACAGTCGAAAACATTCAATTAGTCATAAAATATCTAAAACGCAAATATTCACAAATTCCAAACGAAAAGACGATAATATAGTTAATGGAATCGCAGAAAATTAAAGTTTACAATTAACATAACATCACGCCTTCCATCCTCGAAGAGGTAAGTAGAGGTGAACATTACGGCACTTAATGCCATTGTACAATGTAACACCCATTTTTCACTATTTCTGTTATGAGTCCCATGTTACCTTTTACATGAGGAGGTGAGGCTATTGCCATAAACAGCATAAGCCGGTAAACGAGCAGACGGATCACCTAATGATAAGCAATCGGCGTCGCCCATGGATACTTGAAACACCAGAGGCGTTACAAGTGCGGTACCGGCCTTTTGGGGATTAGGAGTTTGAGGATTGTTGGGGATTCAAGGATTGAGGAAGGGGAAGGGGGTAATTGGGCCTCCGGTAACCTCATTCATACGACGAAACACAACGCAAGCGTTGCTTCACGTCGGTTTTCTGTGAGGCCGTGGTATCCCTCCGGTCGAGCCGGCTCATTCGTGCCGAAGCATGGCTCTCCCACACTTAATGGTTTACCTAAGCAGGAAATGTGCCCAGTATATAGCAATAGGCTCACCCCCTATTACATAAATAGTGAAAAATGGGTGTTACATTGTGCAGTGGCATTAAGTGTGAATAAAAATGTGATAAAAGGCGTGATATTATGTTATGACCACTTTTATGAGACATATTGTTTACCAAGAATAGACGTCATGTCATTTCCAACCAAATGTACCATCTTGTATTTTTAATTCCGTAAGAAAGGAAAAATACGTATCCATTATTTTTCACTCATCTACCAGACGAACAACCTTGCCTATTTAATCTCATTGAATAGTTTTCATTTTAATAAAATCTTCTGAATAACGCAAGTGCAGCTGCTGACGTCATGATGAGGGTGGAAGTGTCAAGATGGTTTCCTCTATTTACTCTACAAGTGTCTTCTGTGTTGTTAAAGGTGAAGAAAGGCGTGTCCTGAAGACTGTAGTTAGCTATAGCCTGGTCCAGTTTGACTGCATCTGTATCCTTTAAATGTGGTGTCCGTGTCAACTTCCATATTTCATCTGGAAATACATAAAATATATTTAGCAGCTATATTGCAAAGTACATTATAATTACTGTTTATCGAAGTAAATAAATCAGAAGAATTCTAATAGTATGGTAATAGGGTAGTTCCTAAATTTTATTTTAATGTCCGTCGGGTACATTAATTTAAAACTTTAGACATGTATTTTTTCATTTCTCACAAAATTAAATACTTTCGACGATATATTAATTTGAAATATCGTTTGACGTCACAGCGTGCCACATTTTGTAGCACGTTATGACGTGACGATCTCTCACTCCTAAACTTAGTGCCATTTAATATAAATATTGCAACTTAATACGAAAATATAAAAAATACGTGTTTCATATTTTTTCATTATCTAACTGAGGGCCTAATTAGATTTTTCATTTTGATACCCTGGAAACTACCCTATTATTTCATCATCATCAACAGCCTATAAATGCCCACTGCTGAGCAAAGCCTCTTCTCACACGTAGAAGGTTAGAGCATTAATCACCACGCTTGCTCAATGCGGGTTGGCGATTTCAAACTTATAATTAGAAATCATAAGTCCAGGTTTCCTCACGATGTTTTTCCTTCACTGTTTGTCAGTGGTGGAACCGCCTCGTCGCGCACCTGACGAACATTGGGCCGGACCTGTCGGACGGCCAATTCGGCTTCCGCAGAGGGCGCTCCACGGTGGACGCCATCATGCGCGTTAGGGACCTCACGACGGGGACTGCAGTGTCCGGGGGTGGAGTCGTGGTGGCGGTGTCTTTAGACATCGCCAACGCCTTCAACTCCCTGCCCTGGAGCTGCATCTTGGAGGCACTCCGATATCATGGGGTGCCTACCTACCTCCGTCGTGTGATCGAGGCTTACCTGACGGACAGGTCCGTCAGCTACCCCGGTCACCGGGGCGAGTGGAACCGGCGAGAGATGTCACGCGGTGTTCCACAGGGTTCGGTTCTGGGGCCGCTCCTGTGGAACATCGGCTATGACTGGGTGCTGCGCACCGACCTCCCGAACGGCGTTAGCACAATATGCTACGCCGACGACACGCTGGTGCTAGCGCACGGGAGGTCGCACCAGGCGGCGGCCGATTTAATGGCGACAGCGGTTGCGACAGTCGTTGAAAAAATCCGGCAGTTGGGACTCGAGGTGGCGCTCCACAAGTCCGAGGCCATGTGTTTTCATGGCCGCGGGAACGCGCCACCTCCGGGTGGGTCCCAAATAATGGCGGGAGGGGTTACCATCGGCGTCGAGACGACGATGAAGTACCTGGGACTCGTCCTCGACAGTCGGTGGAACTTCGTGGAGCACTTCCGACGTTTGGCTCCAAAGTTGGCGAGGGCGGGGGCTGCGTTTAAGCGCATCCTCCCCAACCTCGGGGGGCCAAACGCCTCCTGCCGGAGGTTATACGCCGGGGTCGTGCGGTCCATGGCCCTCTACGGCGCCCCTGTTTGGGCGCCGAACTTGTTGCGGCGTCCTGCTCGGACGCTGCTCATGTCACAGAGGGTCATGGCGATCCGAATGATCCGCGGATACCGCACGATCTCTGGGGAGTCGGCGAACCTCCTTGCCGGATTACCGCCGTGGGATCTGGAGGCGAAGGTGCTCGCGCGCGTGTATAACATGCGCGCGGAGGCACGTCGCCGGGGCGAAACTCCGCTGCCGCGCCAAATAAGTGCGTGGCGGGATGAGCTCCGGCGCGATCTCATGGCGGAATGGCAGCAACGACTGTCGCAACCGGGGGCTGGGCTCGCTGCCATTGCAGCGGTAAGTCCCCTCTTTGAGGAGTGGCTTGAGAGACGCTACGGCGTCCTCACCTACCGCCTGACGCAGGTCCTCACCGGACATGGAAGTTTCGGGAGGTACCTGTGTCTGATGGGGCGGGAGGAAACGCCCGGGTGTCATCACTGCGAGGACCGCCCTGAGGACACGGTGGAACACACAGTGGGAGAATGCCCTGCGTGGGCTGAGCACCGCCGTGCCCTCAGGGAAGTGATCGGCGATGGCGACCTCTCGCGTCCGGGCCTAGTGCAGGCCATGATGCGGAGCGAGGGGGATTGGGATGCCGTCTCCTCCTTTTGCGAAGCAGTCATGCTAGCTAAGGAGGAGGCGGGACGCGTGAGGCAGCGAAGCGCTGCCTCCTCGCAACCCAGCCATCGCGAAGGACACACCGGGGTCGGGGATCGCGAGACGATCTCCGGCCACCGTAAGCGCGGGCCTGCGGACGGCGAGCATGGGGGCTCCCCGTCCGACCAGAACAGACCCGAGCGTACGGCGCGTCGCGTTCCGCGCGCGCCTTTAAAGAGCCATCAGACCACAGATGGGGCCCAATAGGCCGATGCCGATTCGGAGTCGCGGAGAACCTAACGGGTAACCGGGGCTCCGGCTCGACGTGCAGGAGAAGGACGGGATGGTTTTTAGTCAGTAAGAGTCTGACACTCCCTTCCGCCTCACCCAGGCGGGAGCAGTCATTCGATGATTTTCCCCCCTTAAAAAAAAAAAAAAAAAAAAAAAAAAAAAAATCGAGATATATAATTATATATTAACATTAACGTAACATCACGCCTTTTATCCCCGAAGGAGTAGCCAGAGGTGCACATTATGCCACTGTACATTGTAACACCCACTTTTTATTTATAGTATGTTATGAGTCCCGTGTAATAGGGGGTGAGCCTATTGCCATATACCGGGCACATAGTATATAAATAGTGAAAAATGGATGTCATATTGTACAGTGGCATTTAGTGTCATAATGTGCACCGCTGCCTACTTCTTCAGGGATAAAAAGATTGATATTGTGTTATGTTACGTTTAATATTCTAAAGAGAACAAAAATGAACCTATTTTCATTAGATTATGACTGAATAAATGCGTACATTTAAAACTTTAATCATTTATTGTAATTTCAGTTTTATTTTATGTAGATTGAAGTGCGTGAAAGAAGTACCTACGTTTTGTAGATAAAATCTAGATTAAAATCGCACTGTGCCAATGTACCTCTAATATTTGCACAACAGCAGCAAATTTTTGGTATGATTTGATAATCGGAACGGATAACTTTTTTATCAAAATCAGATTATAATCTTAACTATGTTTTGTAATAATGATTATTAATTTTAAAATAATCAAATAAGGCCTATGTCACTTATATAGGCCTGTAAACTGTAAACCTCAGAAACTTTTGTTAAAATTGTTTATATGATAGGGGCATTATACTCGTTAAACTGCGTTTAAAAAAAGCGAATTCAACCCCCTCTTTTTTGAAGTCGGTTAAAAATCCCGTCATACAAATTCACACGTAGATCGAACTTAATAAAAACGTCAAAGTGACATAACATTGACAGCTGTCGGAAATGTCAATAAATGCGTTTATATTTTTAAATAATTTTCCGTCGTGTACCGAACCATTACATAATTAATTTTAAACAAATGAGTTTGTAATTGAAAAGTATTCGTATCGACCAAGTTTCCGTGCGACCGCGTTCGGCCTCCACTTGACCGGCAAATTGCCGTCCACTACCGCCGTCCAGAAAAAAAGTTAATGTAAGGTAATTGACATTCTTCACTTTTGACCGTGTGTTGGAATTAGCCTGTGGTTTTCCCCATTTCCATTGTTTTTACGTTCGATTAAAGTAATTAATTACGAATCTACTGAAGATACGACTTACGGTTGGTATTAGATTGACCTACGTTCATCATTTAATCTGCGTTTTAAATGTACATTAAAGAATTTTTGGCTATTGTATCACGTCGATGACTCTGAAGGGAAGTATGGGTGTGTCTAATCGGAATACGGAGTGAACTTTCAAAACATAAGATTCGAGACACATATACGAGACAGTTACTGAACAAGATCTTTCTGGTTTTTTTTTTTATGGCATAAGCCGGTTAACGAGCAGACGGATCACCTGATGGTAAGCAATCGGCGTCGCCCATGGACACCTGGAACCCCAGAGGCGTTACAAGATCGTTACCAGGCTTTTGGGGATTAGGAGTTTGAGGATCGTTGGGGATTCAGGGGTAGAGGAGATTGGGGAATGGGAGGGTAATTGGGCCTCCGGTAACCTCACTCATACGACGAAACACAACACAAGCGTTGCTTCACGTCAGTTTTCTGTGAGGCCGTGGTGTCACTCCGGTCGAGCCGGCCCATTCGTGCCGTTGTTAATAAAACGTCAAAACAGAGTTAATTCAGATCATTATCGCTCTGGGGCTTCAAGCATTCACACCTTGGTGTCGGACACCTTGAAACTGTATTAAACATCGACACGTGTAATTTATGCGTGCTAGCAAACAGTGCAAGCGATGCGTGTAATCCAATTTTAATACTGGTCACGCAGCAAATCACAGCAGACTGTGTCGAGACAGACCTATTGTCTACCATTTTTCACTAAACGCCTATTTATATTCGAATTCTTTTAAATGTTTTGCGTTCGTTTTTTTTTGTTTCTTTGCAGAAATTTTTTTCGGTGATCCTCCAGACAGCAACAGTTCTATGAATAACTTATTATGAATTATTTTTAGAATTGGAGGATTTTTGTCTTCACATTTGATTTCAATCTTCGCTGTTGTTGGTGCCTTACATTAAATTAAACATTACTCCGTAATATAGGACGCAATTAAAATCATACAAATGACCAAAGTTTAATAACACTACATTAAACTGATTATTAGTTTTAATCTTAAGATCAGAATTACATTAATCTAAGATCAGCGGTAATAATCTGTTATAGAAATAATACCGAAGACAATATTAAAAGGAAATTAAAAACAGTTTTAGCTGAATTTATTGATGTCTCAGTCAACGTACTATCTTCAGCAGCAAAAAATCAAATGTTTCCTATAGTTAGATTATGGTGTCACGTTATTTCAGTATATATTTAATGAAAAATTCTTTGTATAAAAAACTAGCTTCTGCCTGCGACTTCGTACGCACAATCCCGTTCTAGTACGATTTTCAGGATTGTTATAAGTCATAAGAACCTTTTCGTAGTAATAACAAATACAACAAAAAATAATTAGTGAAATCTGCCCAGCTATTCACGCGTGATGCCGTGACCAAGGGAAAAGGGATTTAATTTTATATATAATATAGATATAAATAAAAAATACATAAAGCGGGTTTTAGTAAATATTCTGATTGTGAGATTTCTTATTTATTACACTGGTACATTGCCTATTTATAAAGGTTTAAATCACCTGCTACTTTCATCTCTGCACTGCTTAAAGGTTGACTGGGAGACAATGCCCAAGGCATTAAGTCCACCTGTACACACTTGTTGTATGAAGTTGAAAATAAAATAAAAAATAAAATAAATAAACTCACAAGTACTGCTGTTTCCATCCTCATTATTATAGCACGCGAAGATAACAGCGTAATGCTCGTAGTTTACGTCGAGGAATGAATAGGTTTCAGTCTTTTCATCTGTAAAAGAAAATTAAAATGCATTATTAGAAAATGTGTAGCATGAATGTACGGCCTGTTTTTCTAAAGCGCTATGTAAAGGGTGTTTACTCTAACTTCGCTATCATTACCACATAATACCACACATTGGTCTTCATACAGAACATTTACAGTGTTTATTGTAGGTATATTAAAGTATACGTATTTATGTTAGTCTGTAAGGTATGTATCTATGGGCTATAGTTGTCTCAAAATAAAGTTTAAATAAATTAATTAATTAATTATTACGATAAATTATTGTGATATATTATTATAATTTTCGGCTTACTCACGTAACTGTTTGACGATGGCTTGAAATTAGTCGAATTCGACTAGTTTCAAGCCATGCACGAGGCCTATATTCATAAGTCAAACAAACAGTTCCGTGCGTAAGTCGAAAACATAATAATTAATCTCTCACGCTGTCTCCTGAGATACAGGCAACGCCTAGTTCAGGAGACAGAGCTTGATGTATTTAGATGTTGGTACATGAATAAAGAATTTTTTTTTTTTAAAGTACAACGATTTTCGAAACTCAATAATTATTTATGCATGTTTGCTTTTGACATTAACCTTTTGACCTTTAACTGACTGACTGACTTTTAACCTTTTTTTTTTTTTTTTTTTTATAATTGATGGGGCAACGTTTGACCACTATCTCACCTGTTGGTAAGCGATGATGCGGTCTACGTTGGAGCACGTCGTCCCATGAGCAACCTATTCACTCGGGCCTTGAAGACTCCCAGGTTATACCCTTCAGGAAATACAGACTCTGGCAAAGAATTCCACTCTTTAGCAGTACGCACAAGGAAGCTTGAAGCAAAGCGCTTCGTGCGTGTGGGCGGAACATCTACCATGAATCGGTGACGCTTCGCGGATTGTCTTGTGGTACGATGATGGAAAGGACAAGGGGGAATCAAGTTGTGCAATTCCCCCGCACACTCCCCGAAATGTATCCGGTAGAAAACCGAAAGGCTTGCAACCTTACGCCTGTGTTCGAGGCTTTGAAGCCGAGCCTTCACAAGCGCCATCCCCGATGTAGTAGACAGAGATGTACATTACGGCACATAATGCCACATAATGCCATAGGGCACCCCCCTATTAGCCCCCTATAGCCTATTGCAGTGGTTCCTAACCTGGGGGTAATTACCCCCGCAGGGGTAAAACGGAGATTCTAGGGGGGTAACACGGGATGGCACGAAATAGTATTAAAATAGCAATAAACAAAATAATAGTACGGTAAACGGTAGTACGCGACGCTCTCATGCGCGCGGTTGACGGCGACGGCGGCGGGTGAGCTGCGGTGTGGGAGGGGTGACGCAGTCGAGAGTCCTACTCCTGGATTTTAAGACCATTTTCTACTTGCGTCGATATTTTCAAGGACGAAGATGTGTCAGCGAAAGTAGAGTTTCTCGGGCTGCGTGAGAATAACTCATTGAAAGTTGATTTTCAAAATGATAAACTCAGCACATTTTGGCTAAAAGCAGCTGCAGAATATCCTATTATAGCTGACAGAGCTTTAAAAATGTTGATTCCATTTGCCACAACTTACAGATGTGAAACTGGTTTCTCAACTCTTGTTACATTAAAAACAAAAGCCAGAAACCGTCTGAATGTTGAGCATGACATGAGATGCGCGTTGAGTGAAACCAAACCTAATATTGTCAAACTTGCGAATGCAAAGCAATGTCAACCTTCACATTAGTTAACTCCAAGATATTACTTTACTTTACTAGTTACCTAAACGTGCAATTTCTTAGAATTTTGTGAGATAATAAACATATTTTCGTTCGAATTTGTGTCGTTTTAATTATTTTAAATTAGCTAGGGGTAAACTCAATTCCCATACTTGTTCACAGGGGTAGTGACATTGAAAAGGTTAGGAACCGCTGGCCTATTGCCATATACCTTTATCTTTCAGCTTTAATAACTAACTGCTGCTATCTGATTTCAGGGACACGAAGGTAGGTGCAAACTATCCTCAGGATCAAGGCCGATTTTAACAAGTTACATAACGAAGCCAATTTACTTAATCTTATTAAGTGACATCTTATATAATTGTCACGTAGTGGATATTAAGTATTTAAGTACAGATTTTCGATACAATAGTATTATACACACAACACACTTAAGTTTGGGAGAGCCATACTTCGGCACGAATGAGCCGGCTCGACGGGAGTGATACCAGAAAACCGACGTGAAGCAACGCTTGCGTTGTGTTTCGTCGTATGACTGAGGTTATCGGAGGCCCAATTACCCCCCTCCCCTTCCTTGAATCAATAGGCTTCTTTAAAACGTTTGATTAATCACCACGCTTGCTAAATGCGGGTTAGCGATTTCAAACTTGTAATTAGAAATTATATGCTCCGGTTGCCTTACGAGGTTTTCTTTCACAGTTTGTCAGTGGTGGAAATAATATTACAAATTACATATTTATAACTTGGAAAAGGTTACATTGGTAGGTTTCGAATCCGTGCTCTCATGCATGAGAAGATGACGGGTTTCGTCTATTTATAGTAGGATTTTTTGTGGAATAATTCAATCTACTTGAAATTCTTTGATGGTAGAAAATAGCTCACCACTGACCTTTTAGCAGTTGTTAATTCAGTTAGTTATGTTTTGCGAAATTAGCGGCATTGTGTTAGTTGCAGTTCGTATAAGGTAAATAATGCATGCTTGAGTGGAACTGACTTATGTAGATTAGATTATTTGAAAGTCCGTTGATTAATTAAAAATAAGGAATGCAATTTGTTTGCGAGGTGTAACAATATTTTTTGTAATTTTACATTTTCACTTTAATGAAAATTTTTTCACATTTTCTCAACCATGTTTTTACTGCATTATTCTTAAGCACGTAGATAATACTTTAAACAATGAAGTTACCAATGAAATCAATGAAACATTGTGGTCCTTATTGAAAAAGAATAACCTATAGGGTTTCTTGCTCCTTATTCTCCAAAGAAATTAACACTTTAGAACGAGAAAATAGCTTCACCAAATGGCTGACCAACAAACTGAGATTTTAGTATTTAATTTGGTGTTCAAAAATGTCTTCCTGCTTGTGATTAAAATAAATAATATTGACTTTGAAGTTATTAAAACACGACCACCATAAAGTTTACTACAACCTTTCCATCAAAAACCTTTTTAAAAACAGCAATAAAGTCGAAGTCTTACCATCATAAGTGACGAGCAGTAGATCCCCGGTACTGTTGCTATTGGGATCCGGAATAAGGGCCACAGAACCATTATAGTAAGTAACTGTGTTGTTGGTGATCCAGCTGATGGAGACGTCTGTGGTGTTCTGGTGGTCAAAGAGTACGGTGGCACAGTCACCCTGCACTGCCATGTCTTCCGTGGCTACTGCTGTTAAGTACCAGATGCCGTCCAGCTGATAGATGAAAGTAATTGCGTTATCAGGACAATGGATTTGAAAACAGACTTTAATGCAATGTGGAAAGGATTAGTGTTGCATGACATCTTTATCTCGTCTCTAGTGTTAAGCTTCAGTTTAACATAAAGTGCGTAGATAGGTGCTGTATAACATTGTTATTGATAAGCTTATAAAATCGTGAATGAGCTGTTATAATGAAGTATAAAAATGTATCATTATGTGCTTTGCTTAATAATGCAAACAATAAGGACTCAAAACAATATTTTTTTACACATAATACTCGTATTCTTAAGAGTATAGAGAGGCTGTATTACATCAAATTTGACTAAACGACTACACGACAACACTAATTAATTAACATTATAAAATTACATTAGTTTCCAATTATTAATTAATGAATGAACGTAACAGTTTCGAATATTCCAGAAAGATTTTACACAGCTTACCGCCTTCCAGTCCAATTCCCGTGGCGTCACCACAGGACAGCTCATATTCATGATAGCACCTTCCACTTTCCATAATAAAACGACCAACACTAAACATTGGGCCAACATTATGACAAACACAGGCTGCCGATGCTGGCATCCAACTGAAACCTAACGCAAAAAGTTACGTCTTATAAAGTGAATAGTTTTTGTTGGCTTCAGTTCTGTAGTTCCGGGGAGATTTGTTGTGTAGACTAGAGGGTTTGTGTCAACGAAGATTTTATTGTTAGGTAAAATATTTGTAATCCTAATGTCTCATTTTTCATTTTGTTAAAAGAAAATTTAGTTGATCTTAAGAATTTTGAGGACGAAGCGTAATTTTGTAATCATGAAAAACGTCGATAGACCCTCGACCGAGATGTGCCACCTAAGTAGATACAAATACACAGTTGTACCGAAAAAGTGATATTTATATGAGATCGGGGGCACAAACAGCTGAATGAAGCACCTGATGGTAAGCGATCAGTGCCGTCCATGGACACCCACAACAACTATGGAGTCACAAGTGCGTTGACACCAAAGCAAAGGTTTTCTTTTCTTGAATTTTTTAAGGTCGTCATAATGAATTGGGAAACGCCCTTAGAATATTTATTACCGTTACATTATTACCCTTGGAATATTATACGCATTATAAAAGTATAGACCTTTAATAATGCGTATAGTAAAATTACTTTTTCAAATCCCGTAATACGTTTGGAAGATAAACATTATTTCCCATTCTATAAAAACATGTTATTTGTTTATATTTGTAAGCATAGGAAGTAGGCTTCTTATTGTGCCAATAATACTATTTTTTTTTGCCACGTGCCACGAAATAAAAAAATAGAGGTCTTCTTTTGTTATTCTCTCTATGTTTAGACATTCATTGTATTTATGTTGCAAGAAATCTATTGTATTATCTAAATAGTCTAAATAGTAGTATAATAGTTCCTATAAATGCGTTAATAAATAAATTAACTCGTCGAGTACCGGTTTTATAGACACAATTAAAGAACAATAGGTCGCGGTCACCGGTGACCGCTTGGTGTTTGACAGATTAAGATGTTCAATAGCGAAAATGGCTCGGTTAAAACAAATTGTTTCCGCTTATAATTATTTTATTCGAGTTTCTAATTTTATGGTCTGAAATATTAATTATTTTAATGTAAAATATAGCTAAATTATTGTTCTAGTTGCAGGAAAAAGTATACCAGTTGATAGCAAAATGTATGACAGCACAACGGAGCATTATTTTTTGTTTTTTTCGTTGCCCACACTAGGAATAATTTCTGTGTCGTCGGTGGGTTTACAAACATAAAAATTTACAGACACATGATACCCAGACCCGAAATAACAGTTTGATCACACAAAAAATTGCTCCGTGTGGGAATCGAACCCGCTACACTTGTTGCCCAGCCACCTTGCCAACCTCGTATAATATGTAAATAGAAGTTAAGTTAGAATAGCGACAGTTAAAATAACTATAAACAAAAAAAAATTTACCTTATATATAGCATATTGTTATCATTTTTTATGACTATACTATATTCAAGATGCATCAAAAACAGAATGAAATTATTGGAAATCAAACATTTATCATGCATCTGCGTTATCGACATCCAAACAAGATAAAGATAACGAAACATCTTATCTTACTTTCTCAGCCCATCGAAAATACTAGTCTCAGAGATCGCACTAACAAAAATGTACAGACAACTGTATTTATTGCAGTTAGTATTAGTGATTTACGTGGTGTTTTGTGGTGGGCAAGTTCTGCAATTTGGAACATGTCCCGATGTGAAGACTATGCAATATTTTGATGTGGAAGAAGTAAGTTTTTTTACAGTCCATTTTTATAAATGCTTTATTTTATTTATGAATTATTTCAAAACAGTTCTATTCAATTCTACCTCTAGAACCAGAGTTTTATCTGTGTAGGTACATCTTCATGAATCTTTTCAAAACAGTGTATTTCGATTCTAGAATAAAAGTCTTATTTGTGTACTTTAATGTGACCATCTCCTGATAGATGACCGCATTTCAACGGCAATCTATTTGAGCCCGTCGTTTTAACCTACAATCGTCGAGTGAACAAAATGTTATTGAGATTTTCAATTAATATCGTGGTTTGACAAAAACCGTAAATATTTTAAGCACCTAAGTGTAGGAGAGCCATGCTTCGGCACGAATGGGCCGGCTCGACCGGAGTGATACCACGGCCTCACAGAAAACTGACGTGAAACAATGCTTGCGTTGTGTTTCGTCGTGTGAGTGAGGTTGCCGGAGGTTCAATTACCCCCTTTCCCAGTCTCCCCAATCCCCAAATCCCCCACAATCCTCAAATTCCTAATTCCCAAAAGGCTGGTAAAGCACTTGTAACGCCTCTGGTTTTTCGGGTGTCCATGGGCGACTCCGATTGCTTACCATCAGGTGATCCGTCTGCCCGTTTACTGGCTTATCCTATAAAAAAACCTTTCAAACATTTTCTTACAGAAAACACAAACGAGAACCTTAATAAGCACTTTTCATTTCAGTTTCTAGGCCAATGGTATGAAATAGAGAGATTCCCAATCTGGTATGAACAATATGGTGATTGCGCATACAAAAGGCTACAGTACTGTGGGCGACGCGTGGAAATTGAACATGTATACGTCAGAGAAGGCGTGCAATTTGTTTTGCATCTGAATACCACTTATATACCTGGACATGAGGCTGTGTTTGAGATACATGAGAGCAATATTGGTAAGTATAATAACTCATAGTAGGGCCATTAAGGCAATAGTTGCTAGTATTTATCGATACTAAATTAAGTCATGCAGGACTAATGCTCATCGTCTAATGGAGGTTGACATGTCTACTCTATTGAAACATATTTTTAAGGAAATATCGTCATTAAATGCTCGAGTTCATGTCACTGTTTTTGATCTTGATAAATAATAAATTAAAAATGAATTTTGGTAGCGATACACTAGAAAATGTTTCTCAGATTTATTGTGGCACTTCATCCAATAATGCTGTTATGATTAAAGAAAATGCAAATAGATTATACAATGGAATTACCCACATGTGCGACCCATGTGTTTTTAAATGATTAGATAGCTACCACTAAGCCAAATTATTTTAATCCGGTAATTTGTATTGTGTTTACATTTTTATCGCTGTTTTTATCATAAATCTTCTATATTTGTCTTCAAATATATTGCAATTGAATTCCTTAATTTTAAAGAAATAAGTAAAAGAAAGCCTGCGAAAGCTAATAGCTCTGCTACTTGATTCATAGTAGATATACAAATGCATAATTATGACGCATTTTGAGCGACCAAATTCCTTTCCGTGCTATCTTTATCAAATCAGTTGAATCACCATTGTTTTGATAACCACGATTTGTTTGTTTCGATGCATAAATTTAATCATAGTTGAATCAATATTTTGGTATTTCGTCTATTCCGATCAGAGGTATCTCTGTTGCTTAACCTTAATTTAAATCAGCTTTACCGTAAGAATACTTATTCATCGTCATCACACCAGCAACAAAACTCACTGCTGAACATAGGCCTCCGCCATTGACTTCCAGATACATAGATCGGTTCAATTGCCATGCATACAATAATCATTATGCAATGCTCAAAAGTGTGGGAGAGCCATGTTTCGACAAAAATGTGCCGGTTCAACAGGAGTGATACCACGGCCTCACAGAGAACCGACTTGAAACAACGCTTGCGTTGTATTCCGTCGTATGAGTGAGGATCCCGGAGGCCCAATTACCCCTCCCGTCTCCCCAATCTCTCAAATCCCTGAATCCCCACCAATCCTCAAACTACTGACCTTCAAAAGGCCGGTAACACGCCTGTGACGCCTTTAGCGTTCCACGTGTCCATAGACGACGCCGATTGCTTACAGAAATGTGACAAAATTAATAAGTAGCAACTAACCTATACCGACCGAGATTTATTGTTGGATAACTTATCAAATACTTAATGTGCATATTAATCAGAGTCAGTAATCTTCACTCCTTCGATTACCTAATTGATTACTGTTTATCAATTTTGATAATTTCTTGTCTGAAGTCATATCAATAGAATTTATGGTAGCTTTAAATGTACCGATTTATGCCCCTCAAACATGCATTGCTTTGGAGTTTTGCTGATAATCAGATTTTTTTAATAAGCCTCGCTCATCTCATGGTTATCGTAACAAATTGTCATATTAAAAAAAAACTAATATTTAATTGGAAAACAATTTTTGGTGGGATGGGTCGAGAAATAGAAGTATCGGATGATTGTAAGCAATAGGTGCTCATGGACACCGCAATACCAGAGGTTTTATAAGTGCGTTGCCGGTCTTTTAGGGGATTGAAATACTTTATGTAGCTACTTTCGCGCGGTTGCGCCCGCTCTGTTCGGCTCTTACTGATTCCTCGATAAATAAGACTATCCAACACAAAAAGAATTATTGAAATCGGACTGGTAGTTCCGGTGATTAGCGCGTTCAAACAAACAAAAAACTCTTCAGCTTTATATAGTAGAATAAGATATAAGATAATGGGGTGAGGATTGCGCTTTCGGTAACGTCACTCACACAATGAAACACAACACATGCGTTGTTTTACACCAGTATTTTTAAAGGTATTACTCGAATGGATACCTATTTCTGCTGAAAAATTGCTGTCCTACATGAAAACATCAACCTAAAACTTTTATCATTACAGATCCGATCGGGATACCGTTTTCAGTGATATCGACTGATTACAAGAATTATGCAGTTGTTTACGGGTGCAAAAACAACGAATCACTTGGACTCAAGTACAGTGAGTATTATACATAATCTATTTTATCAAACACGCAGTTCCTTGTATTATAGGATGTATTATATTATGCAGACCAAAAAACAGGGCAACTTTTTATGATGTGACCTATCAAAGATTTTACTAACAAAATACATTAGCACATAATATATAAGTATTATTCTGTTCTTTATCGTATTCTTATTGCCACATCCAAGCAAATTTCCATCCTCCGTGCTACTACTGAGAATAAATAAAAAACCTAGTAATACTTCGCCTGACCCGGGAATCGCAGCCATCTTCTTTCAGAATGTAATGTGAAAAACGTTTTTCAGATCTTATCAAACCAATTAACTGTGTGATTTTGATGTTTATCAAATGCATTTGTTTGCCTGTCCTTACACGCAAAGCAAACATGACAATATTATTTCGAAGTAATTAATATGTTTAATAAAGTACAGACTAGCATCTCTCTACAATTACGAATGTTCAATCATAACACGCACTACTTAGTCAACAGTTTTTGTACAATTGTGTTACTCTTTACTTCATTTTCATTTTCAGTTTCAGCCTGGATTCTTTCGCGGCAATCCAGCCTATCTGAAGAATACTTAACCATGGCATACAGAGATGTGAACTCCGTACCTTCTGTGAGCCAGATATACATGGAGAAAGTCAACCATAGTGCTTCAAGATGCAATTCACATTGGACGGCGCACATTCAACCGATTTATTTTAATGAGGATAGGCAGAATTAAATATTAAGACTGTAATCTTGTTTATTTCTGTAAAGATAATTCTGCATGAAGAGGTAGTAATTCTAAGGTATTTATTGGAAGGTTATTCTAGTTTCGGTGTTCTATAAATTTATTAAAGTTTTTCCTAAGATCAAGAACTACTCGAAATAATTTAATATGCTATTATTTATTAATGCAACATATTTACTCGATCATGTAACAAATTGAAAAGTTATATTTCACAAATGTTGATTGTATGTGTTGCGGTGGCCCGGATGTTAAGACGCTCTCGCTTCTTATGCATGAGGGTACGGGTTCGAAACCTACCAATGGCAAGTACCAATGTGACTATTTTCGAGTTTTATGTACTTTCTAAGATTATTCAAACACCACTGGTAACGGTGAAGGAAACATCGTGATGAACCCCAGGTTGTTTTACAAATTATAATTGTAAGTCCAGACTTATAATTTCTAATTATAAGTTTGAAATCGCTAACTCGCAATGAGCAAGCGTGGAGAATGCTTAAATCATCTCAGTGTGAGAAGAGGCTTTGTTCAGGAGTGGGCACTAATAGGCTGTTGATTTCAGAAATATCTAGTATTAGGTATCTGCTTATATATTAACATTGAGAATGAATAGACATACATACATACCTTCATACGACATACATAAACCGCCACCTAAATAAAAGATATTTTATACTTCTTTAAATTGCATGAAATTAAAGAGCAAACATAAGTCATAAATAAAATTACTTTTATATTAAAACACTTCTGTTAACTCAATCAGATAGCCACTTAAATTAAGTACATTGCAGATTCTTATAGATTACCTACTTAATCAGTTACCGACTTTAACAATTTCAAAAAATCTGTTCAATATGTTCTGTAATTGATAAATACTTATCAGATTTCTTTTAACAGGAACTACTTGATATCAATAACTAAACGACTTAATTAATTTGCGTCATTTTTTTTTCGATTGTGTTTATGAGTCTATGTGATGACGGCGAAGTTGAATTTTTGTCACTCTTTTTTTGAGGCGGGAAAATCATCCAACGACTTCTCCCACTTTGGGTGAGGTGAGAGGGAATATGACTCTTACTGACTAAAAACCACCCCGTTCCTACTCCAGCTTTTCGTGCCGGAGCCCCGGCAATCCGATATGGCCTCCGCGGCTCTGCATCGAGCGTCTGCCGTACTGGACCCCATCTGTGGTGGTCTGATTGCTCTTTGAGTTGTGAGCGGAGTGTGCTGCGCCGTACGCTCAGGATGTCACCAACCCTAGTCCTCACATCTCAATCGTAAGAGTTCACTAAAGACTTATAAGTTCTACAGATAAACTTCTTTTTTAAATCCACAGACTACAACCCTCAATTGAAATGAGTAACTTTTAAAATATCCTGTCATGTGACTTAAACATTTGGCCTAAAGGGATAAGGCCCATAATTTCGGTATTAGAAGTGAATTTTGGTCATTACGTAGTCAGTAGTAAGCAGTTACAATAAAAAAAATCTATTGTAAATAAGGTCAAAGTCACTTTATTTTGAAAATTTTTAGCGTATTACTACAGGATACCTAAATGTCATTGGCTCAGCTTGGCGATCTTCATAATATTTGGGAGAACATTTGGACCAATCGTCTTTGACCAACTTGTTGGCATCCAGACCAATGCGGTTCAGTGATCTCACAGCCAGCTCTTTGGAAACATCGTTCAATAGTTCATTTCTTGATAATATCCATACATATACTGGAAAAAAGTACATAATTAAGCCTTTGACATAATCAGTGCAATACTAGTTGTAATTGTTTATACAAACCATATAAAAGAGTCATGTACCTAGTTGATCAGATACGTCAAAAATCTAACAACGAGTCTAACCGAGAATATAATTCGAGAATATTCAGTGAATGGTAAAGTGTAGATAGTTGTTCCAGATATAATACTCACATTCAGGTCAAACTAAAAGCATTTATTTGAATAAGACCACATAAAGGCATTTTTGAAACGTCAAAAAATAGACAAGACAGTTAATGTGTCAGTTAGGTCAGGTGTTCTTTCCAACTACGGATGAATTAGGACTCCCGCGGCCCCATGCACACGTGCGAGGAGACACTGGGGTGGTTTTAGCAGGTAAAAGTCCGGCACACCCCTCCGCCTTTCCCCAGGCAGAGGCAGTCCGTGAGAATTTCCCCCATTAAAAAGGTGTTCTTTCCAAAAGTTAGATTCGTATGGAGAAGAACGCGCAAGAAACTCTATCGTGATTCTTTAAAAAAAAGGATAAGTAAAGATAATACTTACTGAAATGTTTATCAATAAGAGGACTGTACTCGCATGTGTACACAGTTGCAAAGTAATTGTAGTTCGTAGCCAACACGTAGAAAGGATACTTTCTGTGCATCACTGAAACATTAAAAATTAACGTCAAAACATAGTTAAGTAATGTTTGCTTGCTGTAGGTGGCACAATAATTATTATTGTTTATTTATCTTCTTGCACGCTGTAATACTAGTCTCTGCCCGTGGCTGCGTCCGCGTTTCCGTTTCATAAAAGTAACCTATGTGCTATGTTATGTTATGGGTTCCAGACCATAATCTACCCCAAATTGCATCCCTATCCCTTCAGCCATTTCAAACGAAAAACATATCTAAAATTTTCGCATTATTTTATAATATTAGTAGGAACATCTGGGGATAGTTATCTGGCTCAATGTGGTTAAAGTTGCGCAGGACTCATTTTATTGTATTGATTTAATTTTTGCCGAGTCGACTAGAGTGATAACATGGCCTCACAGAAAATCCACAAGAAACAACGCTTGCGTTATGTTTCGTCATGTGAGTGAGGTTATTGGAGGCCCAATCACCACCCCCACTTCTCCATTATCCTCAAATTCCTAATTCCCAAAAGTTTGGTAACATACGTGTAACGCCTCCCGTGTTCCTGGTATCCATGGGCGATGCCGATTGCTTACCATCAGGTGATCCGTCAGATCGTTTACCGGTTTAACCCGTAATAAAAATTACTTACATCTTCTAGGTGCATCTTCAAAACTAAAGGTTACATGCAGTCTCGCACTATCTGTTATGTCGATTGGTATGTCCAGTTTTCCAACACTGTACCTATGGAACAGGCCTCGGTCCACCCTGGACTGGTTCAAGTAGATACCAGTTGGTCTGGTCTCTAGCTGTATCACCGAGCAGTTGTTCTGCTGCTGGCCGTCGCTTGAGTAGTGGTATGCTTGATACCATTTGTTGAAGAACTTTTGGAACAGAAACAGCATATGATTAGAATCTTATTAGGCTACAAATTAGTGCCATTAGTACAAATTACTGACTGCCTCGTTGGCCGAGACGTTGCCAGTGTGACTCCCGGGAAAGGGATCTCGGGTTCGATTCCCTAGTCGGGCAAAGCATTACCAGGTTTTTAAAAATATGGCACGGAGTCTAGAATTGTGCCAGGTATATAGCAATAGGCTCACCCCCTATTACATGGGACTCGTAACGTGAATAGTGAAAAATGGGTGTTACATTGTGCCGTGCCATTAAGTGCTATACTGTGCTGCCTACCCTTTCGGGGATAAAAGGCGTGATGTTATTTTATGTTATGTGCTAAAAATTACTATGAATCTAGATGCTGATATTGCTATAAAGTCTTAAACAGGTACGATAATATTTAGATAGGCGTACTCCATCGTTGATCACAGTATTGCTTACCACCAAAAGAAACGGTGGCGAACCGCTATCGTATTTAAATATGTACAATGTACAAAAAACATTTTGCTTTTAGTAATACTTAACTTTGTTCGTTTATATTAAACCCTTGAGACATAATAAACCGACAGTCGCCGCGTCGCGGTTGGCCAAATGCTGCATATGAGCCTCTAGTAAGGCTTGAAACTAGTCGAGTTCCTCGTCAAACAGTTACGTGAGTGAGCCGAAAACATAATAATGAACTTTGCTTTTTATTCTCATATTGTAATAGAGCGATTTTATGGCATGATTTTTGTATCTGGATATAGTTAGCTGGTGGTAAATAGGAGATAGAAGAGTGATACAGGTCTCTCAGTACAAGAGAGCATTTATTAATTTGACTGCACGGTTGATGCGGTGGCTGGGCAACCGGCTGTCGTGCAACGTGTCGCGGGTTCGATTCCCGCACGGAACAGCACTTTGTGTGATTCACGAGTTGTTGTTCCGGGTCTGGGTGTCATGTGTATGTGAACTTGTATGTTTGTAAACGTACCCACGGCACAGGAGATAATCCTAGTGTGGGGCAAGGTTTTGTTTAAAGAAAAAGAAAAGAAAAAAGAATAGTATTAACATATTAGGTAAGGTATTGATTACAATATATCTATTACTTACATCAGCCAGTCTAAATTCTTCCTGCAACTGAACATTTTCAGGACATTTTCCAGGCAAAGTAAAATAACCGTAAACACTACATACACTTAGAAATAAAAAGAGTATTAATATTTTTAACATTTTAACAGAATTGATGTACGATCTTTGTGGAGAAACAATTTGATATGATGTTCTTTAGAATGTTTTTGTTTTAAATAAATAAATCTAGAGGTTATCTTTGTTTATAGGTTATATTGTTTGTACGATAATTTCTCAGAATTAATAAGAGAATGTTCTTAAACTGATACGGTAGTTTATTCGTAATTATACAGCTATGTAACTATTAATGAACCTATTATATTGTAACAACAAGTTGTCTATTTTCCAAAAAACAACACAATATATTCAGTTGCACCTTTACAACTCAAGCGCAATCTAGACTATGTATTCATAATACCACGCCTTTTATTCCCGAAGGGCTAGGCAGAGGTATACATCAAGGCACTTTATGTCACTGTACAATGTAACACCCACTTTTCACTATTTATGTTATGAATCCCATGTAATAGGGGGCGAGCCTATTGCCATACACCGGGCCCACTTCCAGACACCGTGCTACTACCGAGCTTTTTTTAAAAAAAACCAATAATACTTTGCCCGACCGAATCGAACCCGAGACCCCTTGCCCAGCAGTCGCACTTGAGACCACTTGGCCAACGAGGCAGTATGTATTATTACTGAGAATTATACGAAAATCTGAACAAACTTAGCAACAATTTGGCTAATTCAACCACAATCAAATCGCAGACCCCGTGCTGGATTGGCTTTAGCAACCACTTTTGGAGAAATAGAGATAGACATATCCAAATAAGTTTATAAGTTACAGATTATGTACGTACAAGTCCCTTTAAAGTAAATAGTATTTTCATATTAAGGAAAAAATAAAACAATATGTAGTTGAATTTTACATCCAAACATTACCCAACAATATTTCTTGGTATAAACTCAATTCTATTAATCGTTTTGTTTATTAACATTTTGTTTTGCGAAACGATAATAATTACTGTCGGAATAAAAGTTAAACTTATAATATAGAGGTGATTATACAGTGACAAATATACTGTTAAAAAAGTTTAAAGCATAATTATATTTTTTATTGTGTGCCTACCATTTTTAGAACCACACGATATTATGACTGCATGTCAGCATGGCCGGTGCAGAGGTTGGGAACAACGTATCGTATTCAATTCCTGTATGGAACAATAAATTGAGTGATACACTAATTGTTGTCCTTCTGTATGGCCCGTGCATGTACATGAAGAAATCTTGATATAGGGTAATGGGACGATTCCACTGTATAAAAACAGCAATTGAATAAACGATAGAGTGCTACGGATTACAAAGTATCTCGAACGTTTTCCTGTTAATGAAAAAAAGGAAAAACGACACATACTCTTAGAATAAACTATAAACCTAGTACATTACAGACTTACCCTAATTGGGGTAAACGAGCAAACAATTACCACATCCTTTAACCTACAACGCAAAAAGTTGCGTAAATATAACGAAACAGTAAATCAGACGGGAGGATGTCCACGTTACGTCTCAAAACGTGGTCAATTTACGTCTATTTCTGTATAAAACGTCTTGGGGTCAGCACATTGAATAATTACATTGTAGGACGGGAGTTCTCATTCGCTATCTCATTCTCGGACGCTCCAGTTGTCTTAAAATGTTACTTGTACTGTTCTCCCTGTTTGTAGGAGTTTTTGCGGCTGAGTATACTTTACCTGGAGAATGTCCTGATGTCAAGCTGCAAGATAATTTAGATCCAACTAAGGTGAGTTCCGGTTGTATTAAGGTCTAAATTGCTTTTCATTTTTGCGAGATGTATTTTTATTGGCTAGATTGATGGTTAATAAATTAGTCTGTGTTGTGCAAGGTTATGTAAGCCTTGTAGGGACGCAAATTTTATATAGGGATCGAAGTAGTTTTGTTTATCTTCTCAGCAAAACTTTGGAAAAATTTCGTAGATAATCAAACTACTGTTAGGTAAATAGAAGCAATATTAGTTTACTGTTAAATAATGTTATTCTAATATCTTTAATTGATGTCTTGATTATAAAACGACGGTTCCTTTTCATTGTCAGCCTAGTTACTTGAAACAATTTGAAGATTAGGAATAATTAGATCAATCAAATGATTTATTATGAGCAATTATTTTCTATACTGTCGGTGTATGCTTTTGAAGTAAATAGATAATCATAAAATCTATAGATAACGATCTCCTATGGAATTTTAGTTGTTCAGATATCGACACAGATCAGTGGATTGCTTTTAGTAAACATTGAACGTTGATATAGTTTTGATTAAATATTTTTGTGTCAAATAAACAGGCAGTAGGTGTTGTATTTTTTTTTTGTTTACTTAATGAGATTTGTATTTGAGATTTGAAAATACAAAAAGCGTTATATCTAGTATTTGGTATGGTGTCAAGCCTAAAGCCAACAAATTATTGAAGATTAATTATTTCCCCGGCATGGTTTAAGTATAAAAAGTAGCCTCCACCACTCGGTTATCTCCTTATGAGCTACAAAACCTGAAAATCTATATAAACACGGTATTTTGTGGCGTGAATGAAAAAAAAAACTAAGCACAGACAAATTTCCAAAATATATAGCCGATCCTCTTTCTAAAAGAACTGCTACTCAGATGAAAAAAAACCTATCATTTTGTCATATTTATAATCGTCTTTTCTCAGTTTTCAGGCCTATGGTACAATGTAGCAAGCTATGCCAGTGATGGACGGGAAATATATGACTGTTCCACTATGGACTTCCAAGAAGATAACTTGGGATACATGTATAAAGAAACTTATGTTCAAATGGACCAGGGTAACAGAACCCAGAAGGTATACCAAGCCAGAGTGGACCCCACTTTCGATGCGGGAAACAGGGCCCAATTTATCATGAGCCATGAAGCTGGAGGTAAGGCTTCTGACACTTCTTAATTTCAACAAATTAATGATTAAGAATGCATAAAAAAACTAAATAATTATTAG